AATATCTTAATTACATTAAGGGGACTTTCAGAGGTCCAGTCTGCCCAAATCTGGAATGTTGGTTCTGTATGATCCAGGTTTAATATAAGCACTAGCTCCTTATATCAATCAGTAACTTTGCTTGCAAAGTCCTAGCTCCTCTCTCTCCGATTCTCCATCTTTAGCGCCCTTAGAATTTTTTCTTTTTTACTTTGTGTTACAGAGACACAGTAGACAAAAAAGGACTTCTTTTATTGAAGTAGGAGGAGTGAGACCCATGGAGATGCACGATGAGCAAGGACCTCTTGAAGTAGAACTCACCAGTCACTGTGGATATAAGAAGCTAATCTGGGATTCAACTTATTAATGTCCATCCAGAATGGAATAGATTTTGAGCAGAGTGACCCTTTAAAAAAAGATGCCTGCCCAAAACTCCTAATTTAGTTTCAGCCGGGTTGAAAAGGTGATGGGATGCATGAAAATGTACACTTCTGTGCTTTGTGGCTTTCACTGCGGCATTGTAAAAATAAAGCTTAACTCCAGCAAAAAAATGTTTTTTACATTTTGGATAGAGCGGTGAAAGGTTCCAGCTTATGTCAGATTTTTATTGCCCTCTGTGTCCCTTTTGGGGAGATTTCCTCATACTTCCTATAAGGACAGGAAGTGGGGGGAAATCTCTCCCTTGGGGGACACAGACAAAAAAAAACACATTTTAGCAAGGTAGGGAAAGGTTAAAACCTCTTCCAATGTTTTTATTGCCTATTCATTTATGTCCCAGTGACAACCTCTCCCCCTATTTCCTGTACAGGTGTCACACAGATGAGAGCTGTCCCAGCAAACTCTGTCCCACTGATGCTGTGTCCTGGGCCAGGTCCCGGGATCACAGCATTATCCTTATTTGATTTACTGCACATGTGCAGTTACTTAAAAGGGCAGTAATTGCAGGGATTAGGACCTCGAATGGGAGTATATTTATAGGTGGGGTCTGGATGGGACCAACTCAAAAAAGTGCTTGTGATGGGTGGTCCTTGTGTATTTAGAGGTGGGGTCTGGGTGGGACCAACCCATACAATGGGCATGATTTGGGTGTGTCCAACCAGAAACTGGGTAGAAGCAAACTGAACTAAAACCCAAGAAAATATTGAACTTTTCCCCGTTCTATCAAAAAAAAAAAGATAATTTGGCTGTAATTAGGCTTTAACATCTCACTTCCAATTGGCCTCTATGGTGAATCCTCTGACAAGCAGCAGCGGGTGCACAATGAGGAAGGAGATCACGAGAGGAACTTCACAGCACTGGATCTTCTTGTCGGAGCTGCAGAGGTGAATATAATTTTTCACACAGACTGCCCCCCCCTACCCTCCATTTAAAGCCAAATTCACAGTTATGTGTAACGTCTTTCTTTAACACTTTATCGACAGGCTCTCAGACACTTCCGTAATATAAAAAGCAGTCCTTACGTTTAGGAACCCCACCTGTCCAGCCTGCTGACCGGCTTCTGGGCAGACAAGTTGGACAAACTCTTTCAGGGTCTCTTGCGGGTGATAGCGGATCGCTGGGTGCGAGAAGTACGGCCCCGGCTGCTGGATGATGGGCGACGACGGGAAATGCAAGGTTGACGGCGTGGCGTGCGGGCTCGCTGCGGGAGAAAAAGAGAAGAGCGTCTGTTATCTGTGTTTTGCTGCAGGATACTCGGCAGTTCCATGGAAGGCCTGAAGAGCCTCTTGGAAATAAACACACCATCCTCTCCAATCACACTCCGACAACGGCAAAGCTTTCATTCAACTCCTACTCAGTGTGACAGATAGACACTTCCTGTCATAGACGGTTCATCGCAGGGACAATTCACAGTTCTTTATTGCTTTTACCCCATCGCCACATCCATTGCCAACAATATTGTTTTAGGATTAAACATAAGGACTCGCTATATATCATGAATTATCGGGCAGGCAAAAGTCATAGAAACTTCAACTATTTAAATAAACTTTCCATGCCGTGTAACATACAAGCTGTACTGAAGTATAAATAAACACAACGGGGAACATTTTATGAAAATTGATCCAAATAAAACAATTTTCATATTCTGTGCTTCTTCCGGTGTTCTTTCCACAACAAGACCAAATTATAACCTACTGGTGTCTTCTATAGGACTAAAATGTATTTCTATGTTTATCAAACTATCTATCCATCCATTTATTAGCTATCGATCTATCCATCCATATAAATATCATCTATTGATGTTATCACTGTATCTATAAAACTATCTATCTATCTATCTATCTATCTATCTATCTATCTATCTGTCTGTCTCTAACTTAAAAATATAATTATCTATCAGTATGTCTATTTATCTATATCTATCTTTAATCTCTGTATCTATAAATCTATCTCTAACTCTGTGACTATTTATGAGCCTGTCTGTCTATGAGTCTACCTATCAGGGTGTCTGTTTGTCTGTCTATGAATTGATCTAGCCATACTGTCTGTCTGTCTATCTATCTATATATCTCTCTCTCTCATCTATATCTATCTATCTATCTATCTATCTATCTATCTATCTATCTATCTCTCTCTCCCATCTCTGTAACTATCTAGGAATCTATCTATCTATCTGCTCCTTTCAGGTCTCATACAACAACCTTAAATTTAAAGTTTAGTAATTCAGCTGTTAATGTTTAATAAAGTAAGTTATTTTATCTCAATTAATTTGAAAAATAATTTTAGACTTAAGAGCTTTCAGCAGATAACAAAATGTAAATGGCTGTTAAAGAAAGAACAATGTTACTTTATTTTGCACAGTTTACATACAATATTATTACATGGCTGGTGAATAAGGTGGCAGAAATGTCATGGTTGGGCACTTCCCAAAGGCAGTTCCACCCTCTGCTCCGTGAGGGCGGGGACTCTTTCCTGTTGCAGCTCAGGGGCTGTCTGAGTGCACAGACAAACACTTCAACCAGGTAAAGCGCCATGCTGTTACCCAACAATGATCGGAATCACCAAGTAGAGTTTCCTGTCTGATAAGATGATGAAAAAAACACCTCAGAAAACAAAAATTGCCCACAGCAAAGGGTCTGTATGTATGTCAACCAATTGTTAAATAAAAAAAGGCAAAAGGAAATTCTAAGATTAACATCTGTGACTTGTTTGCTTGGCCTATAGGGAACCAAGCCCTTCTAAATAGATCCATGGTTTCCATGCACTGCACTAATGATGGCCAAATGAAGTTTGGAATAAATGGCTCTCTGATACCAGGCTATATTTGCAAATGATTTACATGATTCCACTCACTGCCCTAAAATAAGAAATAATCCCCCTTTTTTGGGGATAGTTGATGGAACGAGACATGTGAATACCTTGTGTTTTAAGAAGGCTTTACTGTGCTACACAGTGACTCTGTTGGATGGCTTCTTTAGTCCCTTCTCACAATAACCTTTAGGGTCATATTGTTTCATTGGGTTCCAAGCCCTACTCCATCGAAGCCATGGGTTCCATACACCGCATTGATGATGGCCAAATGCAGTTTGGAATAAATGGCTACTGCATTGATGAAAATCCAGAAACAGCTGTATGCAGTTTGGCTCTAGAATATTAGATAATATTTGCACCATACACCAGCGGTTGTAGGTGTGTATTTGGGGCATAAAGGAATGATTTGTGTGGTTCTGCCCAATGTCTTGGAATGAGGAATAATCCTCTTATTTTTGGGATATGGGATGGAATGAGACACGTCAATACCTTCGGTTCTAAGGAGGCTCGACTGTGCTATGCATGGATTTGGTTGGAGGGATTGTTGATTCCTTTAGTCTCTTCTCTCCATAACCTGTATGGTTAACCTGCCTCGCCTAGGTGTAATCACCATGAAACTCTTGTTAGATCGTATTACGGAATGCTGATCACGCTTTGTCTTTCCTTGTCCTCTTTACTGACCATCTCAGACCGCTAATTGGAAGAGCCACCAATCCCGCTGATGGCTGATACTTTCTAACTCAGTGTAACAGCTGTGTTTACCGGATATATGAAGAGTGACTCTTTAATAATCGGAAGCTGGCAACGCTCCAAGTCTCGCAGGCAAATCCAAAGCCTAATGCAACATATCCGAAGGTGAAAAAAAAAATCCAAACAGTCATTTTTCTACCTCATCAAAGCCGTTACTCAGTCAGGAGCTTTCACCCTACCTGCTGGGAATACCATAATGGTATCCATTAGTTAGGAACCCTCGTGAATTAAATCCTTGATACGGACAAGCTGTCTCCTCTGTGTCACATGACTCGCGCTGACACATATTCACAGGAAAGGGTATAATTATACAAGAGTCATTAGCGCAGTGGACTAATTAATCCAGCTAACGCCTGTCAACAATTCCCTCTTCGCGGATATTTCAGCTATCTCGAGAAATAGGCGAATGACAGATCACAGATTTGTGCTGCGTTGGCGCTATTGGCTCTGCTTGTGAAATTTTTCGCTGATAATTTATTCATGGACCCGGCTGAAATGTTTTTTCGGCAGACGTTAAGCAACTATATTTGGCTTTTTGGGTCTGAAAAGTTTTCTAAGTTGCAGAGGAAGTACTGGGAAGTTTATAAACCTGTTTGCGTCCAGTTTTAGGATGGCGGTAGATGGATGACTCTGGCTAAAATGGTGGAATGATGGCAGGGGTCTAGGTCCCCGCTGGGGAGATTCACCTCTTTATTGTTCCTGGTGACCGTCACCAGGACACAAGGTGGTGGGAAACCCAAAATGTAAAAGTTGCCACTGGGATAGGGATAGATTGGGAATAGTCTAATGGGAACACCTGATCCTGTGACAACTAAGTGGGAATAGCCCTTACTTTGGAGAGATTTCCTCTCACTTCCTGTTGTGTGTGTTAAGTTTAGATTATATGTTGATCTGAGCGTTAAAACTTTTTTTAAATGTTGGATATACATATCAAATGCCTCATAACCTGTCTATCATGGAGGGTAAGCTTCAGTGTAGAGATCAAGATTAGCGTAAACGCTGCTCAGAACCCCCAACTATCCAGCATACTTAGTTTTGCTCCATGTAAGGGGACAGACTGGACTGAGTGGTGCCATACTGGCCACTAGAGAGATTCCCCATCTCGATTTGATAAGTAAGGGAAAATCCTAATTTTGCCAACAGAACAAAAATAGAGAGGAAGTCTTTCAGTGGGGACGATTGTTCCGGTGATAAATGTCTATGATAGGATTTCCTTCACTGTGAAGAGATTATTTTCCGGTGTTCTGCCGAAATGGCCGACTTGTCGAGATCTCCAACTCGTAACGTCACATCCGTTGGAGATTTAGACGAGATGGCGCTAGTGCCAGCCCTGGCAATTTTTCCAAGCCTCGTCGACTTGCCCAATTGCCGTAAGTGCGCCTGTGCGGCCTTCGCAATCCTCATCAAGTTCTCCGAACTGGCATCACTGGCTTGTTCCATCGGATGCCCGCACAGGCGCACTAATGCAAATGAGAGAAAGTGGCCGCACAGGCGCACTGACGGGAGTTGGAGATCTCGACAAGTTGGACATCTTGATAGAAAACTGGCTCTGTTGTTCCTGTTGGACAGGAAGTGAAGTCCATAGAGTTTATACTATTCCATACTCCATCCAAAAATGTTTTTAAAGTCTTGGCTCTAGATATACTTCAGAAAAAAATAAAAAGCCATTTACCTGTGTCAGAATATGGAACCAAAAAAAGCAGGTGAGCTGGCTCTCTGTGCATTGCTACATACTGTGCGACAAGGTGGCTTCTCCATATATTTGCAAATGTATACAACTAAAGCTAGCCATACACTGCAATATTATGAGCGTTGATTGAGAAAACTCCTGCTGTGTGCACTGTATTCTGACAGCGGCCGCTGCCTGCTGTTCAAATACCTGTACAGAGGCGGCAGCTCATTGGCTGCTGGCTCTGTTCCTTCAAATATTTTCAGATACGCTGATCGAGGGATGCTGGCTGAAAGGGTGCTGTCAACAGGACACCCAATGTGCGAATCTCGGCCAGTTCACCAAGTCGGCTAGCTTGAAAGTGTGCTGGGGACCCCCTTTGTACTCTTTAGAATATGGAACCAGTCTCTGTTTATGTCTGCTGATTCTGGACAACTAGCCATTGCACACTAACCAGGTCATTGTTATATATTTTGTTTAAATGATTAAACAAGTGAAATGAAAGCTGGTTTCTTCAATTTTCCTGCTTTAACTTGCTCCGCTTGGCCATTCACAAACATTTGGAAGGACGGCGCTTCCAACACACAGCTGTCTCCTGCTAATATTTAATCTCTGCCAATATCCACAGCCTCATGAAAAAAAAGCCCCGGTCACACAAAGAATAAGTGCTTGTTTTGTTGTTTGAACAGACCTGTGCGATACAAGTTAACACAACTCCTTGGCCGCGCGGTGGAAGCCTTAAATTATCTCAGCGGGTTGTCCCTGGCATCTATCCGGGCGCAGATTATTATAGCAATAGAGATTTCACTCCTACGTGTGCCCGCCAATTACGGGAGCCCTTTGTATAAAGGTGTTCGGTGGCTTTTGCAATGCGCCCTCGGCAGGGGGCGATGCAGTTAATTTTGAAAACCCGCTATGCCGAGCACAAGCGGGCAGAGCGGTCTCCTCTTCCAATGTTTCGTGGGCTCTAT